TTTTTATTTATTTTTAATGGAATTTAAATACACTTAAAGTTCAGTTCTATCAAAATTTACGCAGATTGAACTAAAATGGGTTGCGGTAAGCACTGTACTCCTTAAAAAAAAAGTTTTTCAGAAATTGCAGTTTTCTTAAATTATTCCCGTAAAAGAGTACATAATGTCTTTAAAATGGTTCAGGAGAGTGAAGAGGTCAAAATTTGGATTCTAGGTACACCAAAAAGACTATAAAACATGCAGGCGGTAATATCATAATTTTGGGGGCATTTTCCTGGCATGACGTATGACCAATTGTGCGAATAAATGGAAAAATAGACAAATATCAATATCTGGGCATCTTAAAGATTTAAATGGAACCATTCGTATGCCACCAAATTGGAATTTTATGCAGGATAATGATGAATGAAAGTCACATAATATTTATTGGCTTAAGAAGGAAAGTATTCGTTTTTTGGATTAGCCTGCGTAAAGCCCAGACCTAAACCCAATGGAAAATTTATGGAACGATGTTAAAGCAAAAATATCTGCAAAAAATTCGATGATTTGTGGGAGTGCGTGAAGGAAGAGTGGTACTCCAAACCAAAAGGAAAATGTGAGAAACTTGTTGAGAGTATGGGGCGCAGATGTGAAGCTGTTATTAAAAATCGTGGATATACTCCAAAATACTAATAGATAAGACCTACTTAAGACTAATAATGGTATATGATCTGGCATATTTGAACTTAAAATTACAAGTTTTGCAAAATTTGCTATTTGCGTGACCAGAGAATTTCATTAGGAACCTCAAACTTTGAATTATTTTAAATTTTCATTGAATTATTATTAAGTTTTTGTATAAAGGTTGTGTTAAATAATAACTGAGTGAACATATCGTTACAATATTTTCATATTTTAAGCACATATATCCCTTTGTTTCATTATTATGTATCGGAAAGAAATTTGTGCTATTTGCATGACCATGGCTGTATATATAGCTGTCAACAACATAGTGTACTAATTAAGAACTTTTTGACCTTCTTGTTTTCCGCTCAAAACATTATATATCAGAGTAAATTAGTTCCCAATAATCAAACTAAATTTTAATAATATATGCACAGAATATAATAAATATGTACATTTTCCAACAGTTACATATATTCGTTTTTTATGTAAATATATACAAAAATAAGCTTGAGTTCATAATTAGAAGTGTGTACAAAAATACATAAAATAGGTATATTGAAGAAATAATTATACGTACTTGGTTACCTTTGCTGTCACTACTTTGTTGTGACAACAATTAATTCAGCCGTACAGATTGCTGTACACTACACTGCCGGTTGCTACTGTCCTCTTGTACGTAAAATTTTATATAATATAACTAAATGCATACATATTTCTTATGTACAAACACACAAACATACATAAATGTATGCAAACCTACTATTTTAATCCAAAAGCCATTTTATTGAATATTTTAACGTGTTGCGAATCAGATTCAAATACACATACACATTTCGCTATAATTGTTAAGCATCACTATACACATATGTACGTGTATATACATTCAAACATTTCATATATTAAATGGCCTCTGTTTCGAGAGCATTGACACTAAGCAAAAATTTGGAGCGTTGAACTGCTCTAGCAACAACTACACGAAAAAGAAGTTCGACGCCTCCAATTTAGTAAAAAAAAAAAAATAAAAAAAAAATTTGGATATCAGGAAATGTTGGTCGATTTAAATGAGTGGTTAAAAATCTACTTCTGCCCTAAATTGTAGTTTATGGGCAAAAACAAAATGTACAGGTTACATTTCTATCTTGCTAATATATGTGCATAAAAATATGTTAAAATTTTTTCCATCGTAATATTACTTACAATAGGCGAATTTATTAAAACAAATAAAACTAACACTAACTTAATAAGTGTATATGTATGTATGTACGAAATAGCGATAATAAATATGAAATCACAAAAAAGAATAACCGTGATCTGGCACATAGTACCGTTATATTCAAAATACAAACTTATTTCAAGTTCACAAGATCGTCGTTGGTTATATCGTTTCACATGTAAAATATCCTATTTCAATATGCCGAAACTTCGCAGGGCACATTTTTATGTATGTATATATGTATATAAATAAAACTATTATAGTAAACATATTGATAAGTCGAGTTTTTGTTGTTGTTACTGTCTGTCTGTCTGTCTGTCTGTCTGCTTGCCCCTACGTCCGATAATGCCTTTTGATTTAACTTGATACACATGCTCCTTGGGTTCAAGGTAAGATTGATATTGTACTTTATTTCACTAGGAAGTATGTATATCATTCACTGTCGGACTACCGCACTATAAAAAATATTGTTGTTGTAGTTAGTCGCGGCTTACCACCCACGCTTAGAAACAGACGAGTTAGTCTAAATCTTCGATGCATCTGACGGGAGGTCCAGGATAAGTGCTATTTCGACAGGTTCGGACCAGAGCACGCAAAGAGGTGGTTAGTGTCGTGCGGAGACTCATAACATACGGGACATTCATTAGATTTATCGGGGTCGAATCTGGATAGGTAAGAGTTTAACCTGCCACAAAATCCAGACCTTAATTGCACTAGAATTTTTCGGCACCCTCGAGAGAGCTCGAGGTCTTCATCAGCAATGGGTGGTAGTTTGACACCGGGCACGCCATTCTCAGGGAGAGAATTCTTGAAGATGTTACCTAAAGTCCCTCAAGTCAATTGAGCCCTCAGACAGGTGGTTCTATACACCGGAGTTGACTTGGGTTTCACCCGGTCAAAAGTTGTCACCCTTTCGCATACCTAACTCCGTTTTGGAAGTATAGCAACAAAAAAAAAAAAAAAAAAAAAAAAAACAGACAGAATTTTACTTTTAATAAAAAATAGTTGGACTATTTAAAATATGACTGGGCAAAACTAAACCCCTCGCTCCCTCTCTAATAATGAAAGCATTTGGTTATTTTTGAAAATTTCGTACTAAACCTATTCTTTTTTTATGAAAACAGCTTAATCTGGAATCAAAGAAATCTTATTTGTTAACAGCTGTTTGATAGAAAATTCTTGCTTTCTATTGATCATTACACAAACGGGACGAAATAATAAGAACAACTAGATGTATGGAAAACAACATTTCCTCACGATTTTCTTCAAGGTTTTTAAAATATAAAAAAAAAATATCCAATAAGATTCCGCGGTGTCCGCAAGGTGAAATAAGTTTTTCTACGCTCTACCCTCCACACGTTAGCATGAACTGCCAACCACTCGGCAACTCCCGCATGACAAGCCAGTAGATTTAAGAATCTACCCTCAAAAGAAATATACATTTATATTTACATATACCGCATATCTGTTGTACATACTTATAAGTGTGTAAGCAAAAGAAACACTGAGCACAAGGGTGACAGCTGAACAAAATGAAATAGAGGGAAGGAACCAAAGTTTGACGGACCGAATTTAAATAGCATTATTGCTCTTTCCAAGGGATCATTGTAGGTGTGGGTACTTATGTATGTAAGCATTTGCTTGCGTACAGTTTTAGTTTTATTAAGAGAGCTCTCTTGTCGTCATTCTCTTTGTATTCTCTGGTTGGCATTACAATTGTTTGTTCTTACTATGAGAATATCTAGCAGAGCAAGAAACTTGACTGTGAAGACCATGTGTACAAGTTTACGGCGTAGAAGTCAATTTTATGTGGCTCTAACATCACACAAACTTTGATTCTAATCGACATTCGAACCATTTTCGCATAGTCGCAAATAGTCAGACTTTACAGACCCATATGCGAAGTCCGAAAATATTAGCTTTTGTGCAAAAACTTTTTACTAATCGGAAGAAGAAAGCAAAAGAGTATCTGTAAACTGAAAATTAAAGAAATTTAGAATATGCATCTTAAAGGTGCTTGAATATGGCCTCAGTACCGAATAACATCATTTTGTTCATTTTAATTCTGTAGAATTTACTAAAATGGTAACTCTGGAAAGAATAAATCAAACAAAAAAAAAGCGAGAGAAGGGAGAAAAATACAAAATATAAATGCAGGAGGAAGTGGAACTGAAGCCAGCAGACAGTGCAGTTTATTGTACATACAAGTATCTGAGTGTAGCTGTATACGAATTGCTTTTGGTTCTGAAACAAACTGCACAAAGGGGAAACAAACTGGCAATGAAACACAAAGACGCGAATTAGTCACCATCCACTATTCATATACACAATAAAACAAGTATTCTTGTTCCTCTTCAGCCACCCTCCTAACTATTCAAGCTTCCACAATCTATACATCTCTCTCTTTCTCCCGTCAAGAACGAGAAAAAGCATTTCTATGGCGCGTTTTTTTGGTCTAGCTATGTTTTTTCCGTTTATTTTTTTGTATGTTGTTTTGTCTGCGACAGGGGCCATCAAAGCGATTATGCGAATATACACATATACAATTGAACAACTATGTGTATGCACAGAAAATATAACACACGTATTAACCAAAACCGGGCTGCAGTGCTGAGGCCGTAAAGAGCGTCTGAGTATAGTTTAATATACAAGAACTTAAATTTGTACACTTCTAAATATCTAGAATTTGGCTCGTATAAAACAGAAGTTGACTTCCTGGATTATTGTAAATGTGCACACATATTAAAAATTTTAATAAAATAAATAAATAATAAAAAATAAAACAAACTAAAAAAATAAAATAAAATCGGAAGACTGAAGTCGGTTCACATTTTTGTGAACCACATTAACGACCACGTATTTCTATGGTTGCTTTAGAAGTATTATAGATACATGATTTCATTGTTGGCACATATAAATAAATAACAAACCTTTCATAGGCTGATATTCAGTCGCGCAAACATATATATATATATATATAAGCAATAATTTTTTTACACAGAAATTCACTTCCGCCTTATTAATATGGTATATTTTCACATGTCTAAACGACACAGCACATTATTTTTTTTCATATTCATTCTCCAGATATATTATAGAAACGTTTTAGAATTTGACAAACCTGAGAACTTCAATATGACCATGTCAATATATATGTAAGACTCCTGGAGAAGATGACTACAGGGCAGCCACCTTTGGCTACAATTAGAGATTTTAGGTATAGTAAGCGTATGTTATACTAGCAATGCTTATGGTCCGCTGTCTTGCAGTTGTTTCAAGTTGGAACAGACGAAGTAGCACAGTCAGGGCGATTTTTACTCGCGTCGCTTTTTAGCGAATTCTCTCGTCAACGTTTTCTGTGACGCAAAGGCGAATACTAGAACCAAATCTTTTGTTCAGCACTATTAACCAATTGCTTTATTTTTAATTTCAATATTTTATATTATTGCGTAAATTGATGACTCCAGTTCTTCATAGTTGAATTTAATAATCGAAGTTATTTACTTATTCTTAAATTTTACTAACAAAATTATTTTGAAGTGCCCACGCGCGTACCTTTTCGTTACAATTGTATATTTAACTGCAACAGCTACTAAACAAAAACTGTAAGAGGAATAGAACCGACACATTCAAGCAGCGCCATTAATACGGAAATCTCAGCGTTGTATTTGTTGAAAACAGAGTTACCGCATTTACGTCCATAAACTGAGAGATTTTAGAGCAATCAAAATCGGTTAAAGTTTTTTAAAAGGCACGGAGTATTTCGTAAAGATCTAATTAAATTTTTGAAAATCTTTGAATTTCTTTCTTCTCTTGCTCGATTGCCCTTTTGTCAAGTCATAATCTTATGCGGCATTTCTACGACAGCCCAATTACGTGTTTCACTATCTCAATTACGAATGCGAATTACCCCCATTCACATGGCACGCAGTCTGGCAGTTTTCGGTCTCGCTTGTTTGTTCCATTTGAAAAGGCATCGATTTGGTCATAATTCGCATTGCAATTGAGAACGAATTACCTTAACCACTTTTACTGTAATTCGCTCACGAGAATTCGTTAAATTCGGCATGTATTTGGAGTGCGAATTACGATTGAGAGAGCGAAACACGTGAATGGGTGTCGTGGAAGTGCCGCATTAACCATCAACTGTCTCTTGTTCCCTTTGTCAGCTGAAATTTCATTTGTTATAATCTGGCTGATGTAACTCACTGTATCCCTGTAATAAAAATTAGGTCAGAAACCGTTTGCAGCAGCATTTTCCTTATAAACAAATTTAGAACGATGGCAATAGAATTACCGTTTCACTACTCTCAAGACAGCTGGTTTTACGCACCGGAGTTGACCTTGACCTTATCCGAGTAACGACCGTCGCCCTTTCGACGATCTAACCCTGTTGGGCCAACAGGTAACATAAGTCTAAGGTCACCAATGGAACAACACCTCACTGCTGGGGTGCTCCAAATACTTCTTATCAGCAATGGCTGGAGCCCCCCTTAAGATCTGCTGAGGCCTTAAGATACACAGGGAGTAGTCTACAAAAGTTGTGGCACCATGATGTAAGCTATCAAATGCGCCCCTACTCTGGGTAACCAATCATATGCGGAAGCTATTTACCGATTTTTAACGCTGCATTCTTCGGTTGACAAACTGAAATGACGAGTAACCCGCCGCTTGCCCAAACTGCCAAACACCAGCGCCCTTAATTTCTTCAGGGGTCCTCGGGAAGGCGAAAGCCTCCATATCTATCGACCCCAACGGCATATACTTGCTGATGATAAAGCATCCAGGATCAGTGGGAGCAGACTTCCTCACCAATGTGGAAGATGCACATGGTTGAGTTAAGGTGATGCGGCTGCTGCTACGAGCACACTTAGGCCAATAGGCTCATTGTGATACCGCTGAGGCTCCTGCCTTCACCTTCTCAGATGATCGAACCATTTCGTCAACCCCTCCGAGTGTATTTTACATGAAATAAAAGCTCCTCATAAAAAGCCATCAGCCGCTCGGTGGCTTAATATAAACTGTAGGTCCTTCCATTTGTTGGAAAGAAATCAATACGCCAAACCACAAATTGGAGGTGCTAAGAGTTAAAGAGCATAATGCTTTGTGAATGGCGTTCTCGGAGTTAAATCACAACCCATAGTAATCAAATAGTAGGGTCTGCCGCGAGAGACTCCTATAATACTGGCACAGCCTAGGACTGGATATTGTAACAGGTTAAACTCCTTCTTATCCAAAGTTCTGCATGTAATGATATAGCTCGTTTCTTGGAGCTCCCGTTAGATGACCTTGCTGAATTAGACTAACCAACCTGTCCCTATGCGGGGTAGAGGAACCGCTACAACACCGTTCGCATCATATAAAAACTGTCACTGAAAACCACTTATTCGAGTTGGTGTCTATGCTACAATAGTTTACCAGATATTTTTTTATCGAAATGGGAGGCATGTTTTGTCATTCCAATTGTTTATTAACTTTAAATAAATTTGTATTGGAATGGCAAATTAATTGTTTAATCTTATTATGTTTTTGTGTTCTAACGAATTATACATTCCAACTTACAGGCCTATTCTTACAGTTACCAGTTCAGTAAATTTTGTTACTTTTTTTAACACCCGAAATTTAATTTTGTATTCTCGCGAACTGGTTACAATGTTGGAAAAAACTTTGGCAGCACTGCTTTTTTCGTCCTTGTCAAATTACATTTGCCAGTTG